CACCTCCTCATGGTTCTTGGGGAGGGATGCCCCATGTGGAGTGACGTCACCCCCTCATGGTTCTTGGGGAGGGATGCCCCATGTGGAGTGACGTCACCCCCTCATGGTTCTTGGGGAGGGGTGCGGCATGTGGAGTGCGCGACCTTCTTGTGCGTTCGTGTAAATTTCCACGCGGGCATGAATATTAATTAAGGGGGGGGCTCTTTTGCAGTGACGTCACGCACGGAGGTAGCACTGTGCTGCGTAGATTCTTTTTTTACCGTCACTTTCTGTAAAGAAACGTCGTCATATTTGAAGCGACTTGCAGAATAAATGATTTAATTCAGCTCCATCTTCCTCTGCGTTCGTGTAAAAATCCACCCACTCATGAATATTAATGAGGGGGAGGGTGGGTTTATGTGGAGTGACGTCACGCGAGGGGTGGGCCTCATGTGGAGTGACGTCATGCGCGGGACGGACAGACATTTCTGGGTGATTATAGTAGGTAATTCATAATCAACGTTTTTGGGTTTGGATCGCGTTATTTATAAATGTGTAGTAACCCTCCACCACCCGACACGGCCAATCAGCAAAAAGTGTCACGTTGACAAAAGACAAATAGTTCACTGCTTTATCCCACCGGTGTGTTGAAGCGTGAAACCACAACATTTACATTTATAAATAACGCGATCTAAGCCCAAAAACGTTGATTATGAATAATATTAGTCGCGAAAGCCTACGTGTTAAACTGATAGTAGGTAATGTTGCGATACTCCCTGTGCATGTCAATGTGCCACATCGTGGCTCTCCAGAAGGCAGTACAGCAAGTGGACTAATCACAATGGTTTCCATCCGTATGGGAACAGAGTGCTGCCCATTCACACGCGGCGCGGGTCTTCTCCGGGTTACCTGGTTTCCCCCCACACGTATAAACATCATCAATGGGCTGACTACTTTTACAATAAAAATAAACCAATGCGCAGACCCACCTGGAAAAGGAGTCATATGACTCATCGTGGCTTTGCTGGATTAAGAAGTAAATTATTATTTGGAATCTAACTAGGCCAGAGTGCATTCAAATTAAACTTCTTGTTAAATGCTGGTTTATATGAGCACAAAAACACAGCAAACATTCCAACGTATGAACAAGCAATAGGTATGAACATGACTGGAACTTCCCTTCTCCAGCCTGCACCGGCTAGCATGGTGAAGTATGGTCAAACAACCCCCGTGATCGACGCAGCGTGGGGAGGGGGGCTCCATCCAGCAGTGGACTGACAAAGGCCTGCCAATGATTGTGCAACAGGTTTTCGTCTGTACGGTGACAGTGTAGGACGCTGCCAATATAAAGTTTTCATTTACAAAGTGATTTAAACAACATTTATTTATTTTTCATAACAAAAGCTAATCGTGGCGAACATAGACGGAAATTAGCTCCGCTGAGGTTTACAACTATATCAGTCAAAACACTTTGCGTGCGGTGGGGGAAACGGTGCGGTATGACCATGCGACATTGAATAGGAAACCACAGAGAGAGGTCAAACCCGCCAATCCAAATATGACCCGAACAAACACCTCTCAGTACCGCATGCAGTGTTGGTATTCATCGGTTTTTATTGAGGTCGGAGCTGCACAAGAAACATCGTCAACAAGAGCGAGAGTGCCGCTGCGTTACCTGGTGCTGACCGTTTTGCTGTAATTATCACCAGGTTAGAACCCGCTGTGGAGCGGCGGATAACGCACTGCGCTATGAATCCGGGGACTCGTGTTCAGTTAGGGGCCAATGGTCGACAATCGTGGAAGGCGATGTCTGAACCGGTCCTGGTTGTCACCGCCTTCACCAATCCACTTGCCAGTGTGGTGCAGTATGGCAAAACAGTCCCCGTGGCAAAGGGGCTGTTTATTATTTTATTATGAGAACCCATTGAGAGCGCAGGTCTCTTCCAATGGAGACCTGGATTGATATACTCGTACAATGCGGTACCGAATCTACACGTACAGTCCGTAATAATCATCGAGTGCATTTGTGGCTCGCACCATTCTTATGCTGGAAGTCTATTACGAGGCTGCTGCTACGTTTCTCACAGTCCACAGTCGTTTCACAGTCGGGAGCATTGTCGTTGCATGCAATCCCATTTGACCAATTTGCAAGTGATTCGTCAAATTTGGTCAGGACTGCCTGCCTGCCTGCCTGGAGCAGCAAACGTCTGCAACAAGCAGCGGACGCGCTACTGCTGGGCCCCCAAGTCACCGTCAAAACTGCCATTGGAATTCGATATTTACAGGTATGCGATATTTATAGGTATCACCCAACACTACAAGGTGACCAATGGATGCTCGGACAGTAATTGATCCTTGACTCCTATCGTGAATACCTTTGAGTGTTGTTACCCTTTCGTATGAGTGAGTTTTCCTTCAGGTTTCTCCTACATGCCGAACATTCACTCGTAGATTTGCTCTTCAATGCGTTTTGGGATTGTACCACATGTTGCTTTGCGTGACGTCAGACAATTTGCTCAGAGCCACTTCAGTTGTAAAGAGGTCGGACATCATGCCCAACAGCACACGCATGTTTGTTGAACTTCTTTCGCACCGTACGTAACCAAACGCGCTAATCAAGGGTGCGTTTTTGCGTCTTACATGGTCTTAGATGTAAGACCCAAAAACACGTTGGAGAATCATACAGCATGAATGGAATTGTCCAAAGTTCTCAAGACTCAGTGACGCTTTGCTGGACATTATTATAATATACTTGAGGTTAAGTTCAAAGTTCATCCACATCAAATGAGCACGGAGGCCCTTCATGCGACTATTTTACATTCCCATGGTGGAGGAAACCTCAGCCCTGAGGAAGGAAAGGCTGAGTTGATCTCCAATCTCCGACCAGGAGTTGAACTCTTTTTGGCTTCCGATTATGAGTCAAGGGCTTTAATCACAGCCCCGCCCGGTCGGGTGAATGTACGGTGTGGTTTTTTTTCTCAGACATTCCAGAAGTCAGCGGCGGTAAAGTGACTCAGGGATCATAGGCCCGTGCCGGTGCCATCAGCGTGCAGGTGGTGCAACTGCATCGGAGCCATGGGTTCAGAAGGACTCAGATGCTGCCTGGCTACAGAGGTGGATGGAAATTGAACAAGGGAGCCGATTTCATTCCTTGCATCAGGGCTCATTCGAACCACGCAATGCCACTGCGTACCACTGAGATCCTGCGTTTAAAATCTGGTTTCAGCCACATGCAATTAAACTGCTTCCCAAGCATAGTGAGTTGATGGACTTAACCCATGCATTAATGACAGCACAACAAGTCTAAATGAGTTTAATTTGCTCTGGCTAAATGCTAGCATTGGGAATTCAGATAAATTGGTGCATCTGCCCTGTGACAACATTGCTGTGCTGCAGAGTAAGTGGAAAGGTGTGCCCCTTGTTCGAGTATAAAACAAAAACGAATACTATCACTTGAATATGACATCTGAATCAGGTCTGTAAAAAATGAACCCGTAAAAACAAAGTTTTTCACTATAAATCCTTTATATGCGTGGCGGCTAGAGTCCTCTCGTCCTCTGGCTTGAGATGGCTGCCACCTATGGGTCAGATGATTGCCTGCCACCATTAAGCAATTGGTAATTAAATATAATTGATTTTTTCCTAAAAAGTGTAAAATTTTGGGAAAAAAAATTCACGAAAATACATTGTCACGCACAAAGAGTATGTGTGCAAAATGTCAGCTCGATTGGATCACGGGAAGTGGGTTAAAACACGACCGAAAGATTTGCACGGTCGTAAGCAAGCACGCAAGCAAGTGAACTTAATATAAAGGATTAAAAAATATATTCGCCTGTGGAGGACGCGGGGATCGATCCCGCGACCTTTGGCATGGGAAGCGAGGGCGCTACCAACTGCGCTACTCCACCACGGCCTGTGGAGGGGTTACGCTCTGGGCTCTTACACTCTGACGTTCAGCCAAAGCCATGAATGCGTTCTATTTGAATATATGTAAAATAAATTTTTTTTGCCTAAAAAGTGTAAAATTTTGGGAATTTTTTTTCACGAACAATAATTGTCTGGCACAACGAGTCTGTGTGGAAAATGTCAGCTCGATTGGATCACGGGAAGTGGGTTAAAAAACGACCGAAAGATTTGCACGGTCCTAAGCAAGCAAGCAAGCACGCAAGCAAGCACGCGAACTTAATATAAAGGATTTTTAAAAAACCTGTGTCTGCAGGCCATTCATCAACACGGGGTGATGCACCTCGTGGTCACTTCCCCGCACCTCCGATATTAGCACGGTTGGCTACGTACGGTGCGACAGAAGTTCAACATACATGGCCTGACACCAACAGCACAATAGGAATGTGAATACAAGAAATACAATCTTACGTAAAATCCGCCGCGTTCTACTTTTCTATCGCTGCTACGATGGTTACTTTTCCCACGAACGTCACTCATCCCCCCCCCCCAACCGTGTTCAGGACTTAGTCTACCAGGCTGACTGCATCATCATCCCATCCACAGTGTCCATCCATCACACTGCTGCAGGTCACGATGCTTCCTTTTCTGTCTCCTCCCTAACACGGCTCCACTTTGGAATTTCCTCGCAACGTGAATTTACCAAAGTCCTCATCAACATTACTAAATTCAAGAAAACGTGTTACGCTCCCATCTTTTACACCTTCAACAGTGCCGTTTGCTGCTGTCCGCGTGGCGTTTTGGGACCTTTGGGCCCTGTGCACAGCAACCCGTGATTGAATAAAAACACTTCGTCTGAGTCACCCAAAACAGGACTCCTCAGCCCGAGGTCTCGCAGCAAGCCCAGCCCTGAATCTCTCATCACAACCACAACCACCACCACGCCTCGCCAACTCTCTCCACCCCCAACATCCTCCCCCACCCCACCCCAACCACCACCACCAACACAACCCTGCTCCCCCAACTCACCCATCCCCACAACCCCATTCATCCACTCCCTGCACCAAGTGAAAAATAGAAAAAAAAAGACTCCGAGCCACACCCAGCCCCGCTCCGAAGCGAGGAAGTGGCGTGGGTGTTGGGTGAGTGTGGGGCATCGTCGTCTGTCTTGCGTTCGTGGCTCTCTTAAAGCCACACAGAAGCGACGGTCCACTCTTCTCGCGTGAAGTTTCGCTCTGCGTCGAGTAAGCGGAGCTCCTCAAGTCTGTTGCCTGCTCACTCCTTCCCTCTCCCACCTCCCTTCTCGTTCCCCTCCTCCCCACCACTCTCTCAACTTCACTTTCTGCCGCTTGCCACGTTATGCTCTCTCTATATCCCTGCTGATGCTGCTGCTGCTGACGGCGCTATAAATAAGTAAAGCAAGTGGCGACTGCGCAGTTCTATTATTCTATACCGTACGTGCGTTGTTATTCTGTGCTAAAAATCTAAACAAAAGTGTGTGTCTGTTTGAACATGTAAATGCTTGCTCAGTCGTAGCCACAGACCCCTCTAACGCTTCGTAATAATTCTATCGCAAATAACGCAGCGCAGACACTTCTCGCCACTTCGCCGGAGGTGGTGCTGCTGGGGGGGGCATCAGCCCGCGGCGTCCGTGTCCCGAGTCGTCGTCGCTGCGTCAATTTCTCGCCTCGCCCTCTCCACCACCACCACGGCGAGAGCGCGAGGTATCTTATCCACGCACGACCAACCACCTGGACGCGGGACACTGCACATTTGGACATCTTCTGGCGGGCTTGCCTCGTGCTTATAAGCCGAAAGACATCTCCCTATCAGATGCAACCCTTTGCTGTTGTTGTTGTTGTTGTTTACAAGTTGCTTGAGATACGTTGGCTCGCTTGTTATATTTGTTGGGATGTGCGCGCTAAGGCAGCTGTCAAAAGTCAATTGAAAATGCGGTTGCTGTTCTGTATACCAGTGATACCTTAGGCTTCCTCGTAATTAGCGTAATGTCATTTCAGTTACCTAGGCGAGTCTCGCTGAGTCTCACGACTCGTGTTCAGGAAAAGGGGCTTTTGCACCCACCGATGTCTGGCCACAGCTGTTCAGGATGAGTGTCGTGGGACGGATTGTTTAGTCGCAAAGGGGGACCGGAGAGATCCCGGAGAAAACCCGCGCGCGCACAAGGGGAGGCTGGTAACGCCCAGAGCGGCCAGCAGACAGATGAAAGAATCAGTTGCTCTCAAGGCAAGTCGATTAGCGTTCATCACAATTCTGTCAGTGATGTGAATTCCATATTATCGTGGCGGGGGAAGTCTTTCCATATTCCTCGAAGGAAGTGGCCAAATATGCCTCCCTCCCCACCCAATCCAATGCAGGGACCTCTTTAAAAACGAGTGAGACGGAACGGCGATTCTTTCCGTGGATACTTTGGATGATTAGTCTTAGTCTCGCACGCATGGAGGGGTGTAGAGAAGGGACGTTACACAGGTTGCATCCCAAGTGTCAGGGGAGTCGGGTGGGGCGTGTTGGATGAACAGGTGTGTGGCTCTCTTCTCACCTGTATAGCGTTACCTGCCCTGAGGCGTCCTGCTTTGAGCACCACGTGCCAATGTGCAGCTTATCTGTGTAATTCTATCCTGCCCGGTAAATATGTCCCCGTACGGCAAATGTTTGTGTTTGCGTGAATGCAATGCGTAAATAGTGTCGTCTTGTGCAGGCTATAGAGGCTACTCGTTAAGAGTATAGGCCAAAGGACAGGTAAGTTGTTTAGTTGGGTAAACATTAATGCATTTTTAATGCAATTGAAAGGCACGTAATTGCCGAAAGTAGTTTAAAGCCTTAAAATATTAATATCAAGTAACTTGATAAGTTAATTCCCCATGCATACAGCTATAGAGTGGGGGGATATCGAATTCACCGTACAGTACTTATATCGCAGGCGTATTCCTGTATCAGTTACATTTATTGTTGGCTAAACATCGCATAGGGGATAATAGGCGAGGTCCAACGGGGTTATCAAAGGCCGCGTGTATTGTACTCGTTTAATTATTCTGTGGCTGAATCGTGCGAAATTCTGGTAGCTTGGGGAGGCCATCATCTTGCAGTGGATTGATCATGTCTGATGATGAGTTAATAAGTTAATAAAGACCACGTTAAGTTGACTTTGTTTAACTTGTGAGAACTCAGAGGTCGGTATAGTCCCATTGGCAGGAGTGGTTTGGGCCACCAAATTACTAAACGTAAAACCAATGAAATAAAGTTATTGCAATTAAGTAAATATACATCGGAGTGAAACGACGGCATATATTCTGTGACAAAAATCTAGAACTGCTCAAATTCAGCGGGGTGATTCAGACTCCCAGACCATTACACAGGAGTCTCCCCGGCCACTCCCTGCACGTGGGTCTTCATGTTTGTGTAAGACCATTCAGAAACACAACATATTTGTGGTCAGGCTTATCGATGGAGGGGGGTAGGATAAACAGCTTTTGACGCGTGCTATCGAAGTTACAGTTTTATTCGGGATTTGAGCGAGTTTATTAACAACAAAAAGACGACGCTTCCGTAGCATTGCATTGCTGGGGCGTGGACATTTTTTTTGTTACACGTGGTTTCCATCTAAAAAAAAAAACAAGTTGTACGTTCGACCGTGAGTCCTGACACGTACCGATGTACTCCCTCCTCCCCCTCCTCGCAGCTCGGGGCCGCTGCCTCCTCCTCCTTCCTTCGTTTGTTTGCCAGACGCTCCGATCCGCCTCCTCCCTCCCAAGAGTGCTGCCTGCAGCAAGCGAGAGAAGGGGAGGGGGAGAGAAAAGCCCCCCCAGCACGGTAAGCTGCACGCATACTTGCCACATGTGCTCAGGTCGCAGTGCGCTAGGGGGCGGGCGGGTGGGTGGGAGTGGAGTGAAGAGAGTTGAGTTGTATGCTTTGGATGGGGGTGTGGAGGGAGTTGTTCAGTGGCTTCAGAGGCGGTGGAGAGTGGAGAAGTGGTGATTGTAGGTGTGGTGTAAGGTGGGTGCGGGTTCAATGTGGAGCCCAGGGACATTAACTGGGCGTTGGCTCATCACTATATGGCAGCATTCACAAATGGAACATTTAAAACGCTCCAGTAGCAGTTTGCGACTGGTGGTCATCCAGAACAGACCTAACGACGTTTCACGACGCAACACCCCGATCCACAAACACGAAGGAGGCATCACAGCGATGTGGCACTTCGCTGCTCCTGACGCGTCTATCTGGGCTTGAATGTGAAACTGAGGTTATTGCTCTGAGCCTACATCAGCAGCCATACGAAAGAAGAAGCATTTAAGTCTGCTAATGAAGAGGTGTGGTGCATGCACCATCTACCTTCTAGACACTCTTGATTCATTCTTTCCGCAGAGATTTTTCCCCCCCATTTTTAATAAAAGTGTTACCATAAATACATTTTGCAATATAGGCAAGATGGCTAGTTTAGAGATTTGTTTTTATTCCCACAGCTGGTAAAAAAATCCCGATAGCTTGGGGCGAGGGTTAGGCGGGTGTGGGGGTTGCCCTACTTCCCCACGCTGGTCAGTGTGGCGCTGCATGCTGAAGGCTAAAACCAGAGAGCTGTTGAGATATCACTCAGCGCTGATGTTCGCGATCACTGAGAATCTCTCTTGGACCAACTGGAGGTGTAAGTTACTTTAAGCAGAATACATCTGTAGTTTGGGTGTACTCGCTGCTGCTGATTTATGCTGCTGGAACTGACTTGCAGATACACAACTTCGCTCAGAAGCAGCAGCAGCAGAAAAAATGTAAACATTTCTGCGAAGTCGGCTGTGGAATGGCAACAGATAAAATGCGGTTGCGAAGTAAAAACAAAGGAATGAATTTGGCGAATAAGGTTGCATTTTCGTTTTTTGTTTAGAATGGAGCTCGACAGTGACCTCTTGTGTGGGGCCGAGAACGATCGCTGTACAGTAACAATGTCGCATCTCTGATTTAGCCGGGGTCTCTGATTTCGGCGGATGTGTGAGACATCGGTCAGATACGCGAACGTCTGTAGACAATGACATTGCACGGCGTGCAAATAGGTTACGAGACAAAAATAAAGTGCAAACTGCTTTCAACTTGAGAAACTGCTCCGAAGTAACACTGTGACGTACGTGCATCGCTATGCAGTTTGCATGATAGGACCAGAAATATTCCCCAAACAACATTTTTGTTTAAAGCAAAGGGAATTCAATGGAGAGTAACATTTCAGGACCTCTGCTGTGCAAGTCACGATCGCCGGCGATGGGGACGACCCTGAGTTGCGCTTCGCCTGCGCGCGGGCTGCCGCTTTCATTCGGTAACCGTCGTGGTGGACATCGCAGACACGGGCACGGACACAATTTCCTCGGCACTCGGTTAATTGGTCTGTTAATTTGTCTGTTAATTTGTCTGTTAATTTGTCTGTTAATTGGTCTATTGATTGGTCACAGTGGCTACGTGGCGGTCGGATATGCGACCTTTTTATACCCTGCCCTCGGTGAAATGGGTTTGCCGCGTGGCACGGTGGCCACGTATAGCAGCAAAGCGACGCCTCAACAGTAGCGGCGTGAAGTCGTTGCAGGGCATCTGCTACGAGGCCAGGGCGTGGCATGGGTGGCGGAGGACATACGACTTTTTGAGAAAGTCCGGGTGAGGGAGCAATGCAGGGTGGATTGGGTGGCATTAAAATCGAACCTGCTTGCCAAAACGAGGCCCAAGCATGCAGAACGTTTAGAAGATAAAAACACATTTTCAAAGGGAAATAAATATAAAAATCTGGAAAAGTAAGTAGGCGGACAGGCAGATTTGATGGACAGACAAGAGGCAAAAAAAAAATTCGGGGCAAGAATGAGTGAACCCATTTCCCATGAACGGCGTGATTCATGGGCTACTGAATTCTGAGTTTACAGTTGCATCTGCAATAGCGGCCGTTATGACTGTGTCCTGAAAATGTCTTGAGGTTGTGACTCGTGCTTGTGGCTTGTGTAGCAAGCGAGAGACCGAACAAGAGCACATTCTGCAGTGGCGGATGTCCACAAAGTGCGCTCAGAATGGCAGTTGAATGCCTGCAAAAGGGCATGTGAAGAACGCGGGGGGCTCCCTTTTCGCCAAAATGCCACCACAATGTTCTTTTTTTTTCATTTTGTATAATGGAAACGGGCGACTTGCTGCTTGGAATTCTCTGAGAGTTCGTGTTTGCACAGTGAAGAGGCGCTTCGCATGTCCGCTTTAAGGATCGTGTAAACACGCCGTCAGTTTCGGCTGCGATGACCACCCCCGTCCGCCCCCCCCCCCCTCACTTCTGCGTGGTGCACGGCGTTGTGTTGGTGGTGTGTTGGTGGTGTGTTGGTGGTGTGTTGGTGGTGTGTTGGTGGTGTGTTTGTGCTGGTGGTGGTGTGTTGGTGGTGGTGGTGTGTTGGTGGTGGTGTGTTGGTGGTGTGTTGGTGGTGGTGGTGTGTTGGTGGTGGTGGTGTGCTGGTGGTGTAGTGGTGGTGGTGTGTTGGTGGTGTGTGTGTGGTGGTGTGGTGGTGGTGGTGTGTTGGTGGTGTGGTGGTGGTGGTGTGGTGTTGGTGGTGTGTTGGTGGTGGTGGTGTGTTGGTGGTGGTGGGGTGTTGGTGGTGCTGGTGTGTTGGTGGTGCTGGTGTGTTGGTTGTGTTGGTGGTGTGGTGGTGGTGGTGTGTTGGTGGTGTGGTGGTGGTGGTGTGTTGGTGGTGTGTGTGTGGTGGTGGTGGTGTGTGTGTGGTGGTGGTGGTGTGTTGGTGGTGGTGGTGGTGTGTTGGTGGTGGTGGTGGCGTGGTGGTGGTGGTGGCGTGTTGGTGGTGGTGGGGTGTTGGTGGTGTGTTGGTGGTGGTGGTGTGTTGGTGGTGGGGTGGTGTGGTGGTGGTGGTGTGTTGGTGGTGGTGGTGTGTTGGTGGTGGGGTGGTGTGGTGGTGGTGGTGTGTTGGTGGTGGTGGTGGTGGTGTGTTGGTGGTTTGGTGGTGGTGTGTTGTTGGTGGTGGTAGTGACAGACTGTGGCGAGCCTCCTCGCTCGTCCCCCCGCCTACAGCCCTGGCCTCTCACAATGAGCTCGTGTTGTGCTCAAATTTTCTAAATTATGTAACGTGGACAAAAATGTAAACTGCACATAGTGTACGCGGCGCCATGGCTCAGCTAAAGACCTTTCTGGAATGAACTAAACCTATTGCGAACTATTTATTTCGTGAGTTTGGTCAAGTCATGTCCTGACTGCATAGCTGCACGTGTGTTTACACGTGTATATCGGAGCATCAATAATCCCCCCTTAGCTACGTAAATAGTTATGCTTCAGAGTTTGAAAACGTTGGACAGTGAACAGATTTTAGTGCGGTTTAAAATGTGGATGGACGTAACATTGTTATTTTGTGCGGGGTCTTTGAAATAAAATACCAAGTATAGTGTTTGTGCCATTTTACAATCTTATGCAGGAGTTTTTAAAATAGATGATTATAATGCCAGATTATAATTCCAGACCTGAAAGCAAATATATTTTGATAATCGGTTGAACCTCAGCAGAACGAGAACGATGAAATGCAGTAAAATGAAAAAAATATCCCTGATTGAAAACAAGTTGTTGGATTTATGAAAATCAGTGGCTTTAATTAAACATGATTCATCCGGCATTGCAGGATGAGATCTGCAGATGGGATTGAGAGAAATGTCTTGAAGGGCTAATTAGTTGGCCCTTCAAGACAATTCGTTGTATTCCTTTGCTGGCGAGATGTGTGCAGCATTGCAAGACCAGAGAGCGATAAGTTTGACTTGACAAGAAATACGTCCGTGAGACATATGAATAATTAACAGAGACTTCTTTAGATTAAACGTTCAGGAAAAGATCCCCTGTAAATGCCCTGCTAGTGTACCGCACACCGCACGAAGGAGTAAGATATGTTCTTCAGGTATGCCATGCATTTGGCGTATTCGTCTTACTTGCTATGATGCGGGCAGTCAATTTGTCATGTACTTTTGTATACTTGAACATTCTTGTAAACACCACCGCGGCGGATAAGATATATCTATGGCAAGGCCACAGGATGAGCTGGCGTGCGAGGTTGTCATGACCCAAATCATTCCGTTCGCTTGAAGCATCCTGCGTTCCTGACGCTCTTGCACAAGAACAACACCGCGGTCACCAGACCCTCGTCGTCGGTGCCCATTGATGAGTCTCCCGCACGTTCCAACTTGGGCATTGCGTGAGCGGTTCGCCCCCAACGGGGGCACATCCTCGGTGTCCCGGCTGACAAAGCCGTGCGCAAGTGATAGATTCATGGAGACCCCCCCCACCCCAGCACGCAACCCCCGCCCCCCAAACCCCCACCTAAGGGAATTGTGTTTTCCAGCTCTAGATTTACACGGGCAATGTAATTCATCAGCTGTCCCCGCATTGGCGTCAAGTGTTTGTAATCACTTTCCATGGCTGCGTCGTAAAATATCGGCGGTGGAGGAAAAAAAAATTGCAGGTGCAGAGCCACATTTGCGGTAAAGTCTGCGAGTACCTCGTGCAGCCCTAACAATTTCTTACGCCGACTGATGGCGAGAAGCCCCTCTCGGAGGTGCCGCTCACTCTTCCACAATGGCCAAGACGTCTTGGGCGTACGCACTGTATGTGTGAACCTCTTTCGCGCCGTACGTCGCCACCCGTGCCGATCGGGGGTGCGGGAAAAGGTGTGAGTGTCCACACTTTACCTCACCGCCACCCACCTACCAGTAGACTTATTCATATGCATATGTACAGACAGTACATTATAGCATTTGAAATGTAAAATAAATCCAGTATCCACATGGAATGCCATTTTATGCATCCCAAACCCGCCAGC